TGCAACTTACCTGGCTGCTTCTTGCTCTGACTGAGGGCTGCTGGGAGCAGGGGGTGGGGCTTGTTGTATGTGCCCGCCCCCTGGGCTCTTTACTGCCGGAGCGCCGCTCCTGTGCGCTCCTGCAGGAAATGACCCCTGGTCCAAACAAGGGATTAAGCAGACCACCCCATTTCCCTGCTGATTTGTTTCTATCAATCTGGATATCTCTCGGAGTTCAACAAAGGTGGGCCAATCAATGAGGGTAGCAGGCAATCATAACTCTTACTAGGGTTTGGGAGAAAAGCCACCTGAAAACCAGGTAAAAGTATCCACCTAGGCATAATACAGCCTGCTATTATATAAGCTTCATTATGAACTTCGGATCAGTTCTGGTCACTAGCTTTCCTTGAGCCCAACCAGAGACAGAAGACCCATGACTTCCCAGAAGTTCTTTAACGTTGAAAAGCAGCCATGGACGTGGAGCATGTCAAACAGAGGAACAGTCTAACCTCATATTCTGGCAGAATTCATATTCTGGCAGAATTCATATTCTGGCAGAAATCCTGAGCTACTAGCAGCCCCAATAGAGTTAAAAAAAAAAAAAAGACAGGGCTAATAGGTCCTCAGCCAAAGTTTCTACTAGAAAAAAATTATCTGGGTAGAAGTGCGGAACCCCGCCTTCCCCTGATCAAAATTAGGGCCCAACACAGCTACTTTTTAACCATAAAACATACAAATACAGACATCCATCTATTTGTGCTATTAAATGAGTACTGTAACAACTCCGAGTGGTGAAGTACTAATACTTCCAACTTTCGGAGTGGCCTGTCACTCCCTCCGTATCCCACTTTGCTTCAATATTAACAACCAGATGAGGGTATCCCCCACGTCTTCTTGATCCTTATTTTTTAGGATCAAGAAGACGTGGGGAGAATCGGGGGGAGATGGGGGTCAAAATGCGACCGCACAGCAAATAGTGGGAAATTGAGAAGTACAACCAAGGGAAATGGGAGACCGAGGGTGGAACAACTGCTTTTGTGGAATTGGTCCATGAGTCTCCAAGGTAGTATATCTTCTGGTATCAAGGCCACAGCCAAACCACCAGACCTGAAGACTCCAGTTAAAATTAGTTTACTTTCTACTACTGTTGAAAAATGATGTAGTGTTTTATTTCTAATTTTTACAATTCAAGCCACTACAACTACCTTGTAGAAGGGAAGGATATAAATTTAACAGAAAACAAAAACATTTTTAAAACATCCACAATAGCTCTACAGGCAATGATCACAGTAGTGGTAGATAGAGCCAGTCTGCCTTTGCCTCTTCGGGTTTTATCTAAAATGCTCTCAAAGAGCAAAACTGCTCCTGGCTCCTGCCATTCCAAAACTGCAGATGGGAGAATACTCTCGTCCAGTGGTCCCTCTAAACTGTGGAGTTTTGTGAGCAAAAATTCTACTTTGTGAGCTACTGGCATTAAAGTTGTGAGTGAGCTGTTTGGCTAATGCATAAATTAGTTTGCTCTGGAGCCATCCTTCCTGAGCCAAGACAAAAATGTGTGGGCTGGAAGCTAAAAAAAAATGTGAGCTAGCTCACACTAGCTCAGCTTAGAGGAAACACTGCTCTTGTCCCACTCTTTATAAGATAATTCCGTACACAGAAAACAAGATGTCAGATAGAAATGTTCTACCTGACCTTCTTCTAAAACATGCTGGTTTTCTACATATAGGTTCTTCTTTGCTTGTGAGGGAATATCCACACCTAATTCACACCTTACAGTACGTAGCACTGAACTGGACAGTTTCACCATGTGGTGGGTGGGTTCTCTTGTACTGCAGACATAAAATGTGGCATTTGTATACAAGGTGACTCACATTAGTTTTTTAGTGCAATTGTGTTGCTTGGCAATTGTGTCAATGTGCACCTGGACACTTCTCAGTAGATCTCTTTTAAAAGGAATGAAGGATGGGCTACAGCTCAAGTAGCCAGTTATCCTGCTACATGGTTCGAGTGTATGTGGTTTCAGGTGGGTACCCATCTTGGTCTCTAGTAGAACAATATTCAGGTCCCAGTAGCACCTTGAAGACCAACAAAATTTTCCAGGGCATAAGCTTTCATGAGTCAAACTCAACGTCAAACGCTCAAGTTAAAATTAGCTTCCTCTGATCATTACCTTGACTTCTCTCAAATTCATACATTCATCCCACGAGTAGAACTTCCTTTTCATTCTGGGATAAAAATCACGGACAATTAAGTAGCACAGACAAAAACAAAAGGAGACATAAACAGACTATACCTAGCACCTCTAATCTGCTCCAGTAAATAACAGGACAAATGAATAAATCTGTAATCTTGATAACAATTTTAGAAATGCGATGCATGCCATTACAAATAAAACTTCAACAGCAGGGTGGTGCAACATACAGTCCATAATCGACTCCTCCCCAGAGAGTCTTAACTTACAAGGCCCACAGAAGCTCTTAATGCTGCAGTTCAAGGAGTCACTGACAGCCCAGCCATAAAGCAAGATGGGCCAATGTACTCTGGCTGCATATATTTTGAGCGTTACCAAGATCAACAAAACAGGGGGAGGAAACAGATGTGACCCACCAGAATTACCTTTCAAGACACAATTCAAAAGCACAAAGATTTAACGGCACATACCTCTTGATGGCCACAAGCTCCCCTGTTTCGTTGCTCTTCCCCATCAACACACTGCCATACGTTCCATCTCCAAGTTGTTTCATAGTTGTATAACGATTCATTTTCCAAGGACAGGTTAGCCGGTTCACAAAAATTATGAAAATCTTTTTTCCGGTACGGACATCCAGAATGTTGCTGTTACTTGAGTGAGTGATCGGTCATAACAGTTGCTTAAGTCATCAGTCCTCTTTTCTAGTACTATAACCACTTCATCCAGAAATAATGTAGCAGTGAAGGGAATAATGTTGCCATTCTTAAAAGCATCCTTAACAAGAAAACATATAGTTAATTATTCAGTAAAAAAGTGCATCATGTAGTAGCAATTTGATAACAGCCTATTAAACTTATATTTTAACTACCAGGAGAAGTATGCATACAATGTGTATCTACTAAATACATGTTATATTGCAAATAGGTAACCAAGAGTAGATTTTCTATGACAAATGACAGCCCTTGTATGGTACAAATGGGACCATGAGCAGCTAATTATTTGTTAGAATTCAGGACAATGGCCTTATCGATTGGGATGACAAGATAGCTCATTAACACTACTGTCAGTCACTGTTCCCTCTAAGCTGAGTTAGTGTGAGCTAGCTCACAGTTCTTTAGCCTCCAGCTCACACATTTTTGTCTTAGCTCAGGAAGGATGGCTCCAAGCAAACTAATTTATGCAGCAGCCAAATCACTTGCTCACAACTTTAATGCCAATGGGTCACAAAGTAGAATTTTTGCTCACAAGACTCCACAGCTTAGAGGGAACATTGCTGTCAGTATAACTCAGCTATCCAGGAGACAATGATACCTTTGTTTAACTAAAAAGTTATTTTTGCAGATAGTGAATACATAACTAAAAGTTTTTTTCCAGACAGCCAGCACCCTAAATAGAATCCTAACAGTCTAAGCTTCGATATTTAAAGGTGAGTTTTTAGCATTCATAATAGTGAAGAGATATTTGAAAATATAATTACTCTGCACACACAATTCTTTCCAAAATCCAGCACTAGAGCAGTACATAACCTGCAAGGAATCATCTTGTTGTCACAGGTTTATCCTACTCCAAACTACATACTGCAATTTAAAAAAAACCTCTAGAAACTACAGCACATGGTGATAGTGGTTATCTGGTATTACTGAAACATATTAAATAAACGCAGGTGCTGCCCAAGAAGAGATGTGACAGCCCAGAAAGTTTTCCATCCTCCTCAAGACTTTTTCCATTTTTCTAATGGAAACATCTGAAGTTTAGGGGAGCATCCAAAAAACCTTCTTTGAATCAGGAATGAGTGAAATGCTTTTTAAGACAAAGTTTTACTGACTCAAAATGCAGAGCATGAAGGTCTTTGTGCAAGATTATCTAAGTCATTAAAGAACATCGAGTCCAGCGTAGACAGATAACAAATACAGCCTTGGAAAATATTTTGTTTGTTTAAATATGGCTTTGTTCACAGTTAATATGTTATAATGTATACAATATAGTAAAGGTAAAGGTTCCCTTGCTCGAAAGCCAGTCGAATCCGACTCTAGGGTTGCGGTGCTCATCTCCGTTTCAAAGCCGAAGAGCCAGCGCTGTCCGAAGACGTTTTCGTGGTCATGTGGCCGGCATGACTAAACACCAAGGCGCACGGAACGCTGTTACCTTTCCACTGAAGTGGTACCTATTTATCTACTTGCAATTTCTTGCTTTCAAACTGCTAGGAAATGTTTTCAATGGTATAAAGTTCAGTTCTGTACTCAGATATGCTACTGTGACTTTAAGAGACGAATTTACAGGCTTTCATTTGTTCATGATAGAAAACACAAATTTTATTTTCAGCCTCTTAGATGACAAACATGAGATATGCAACAGTTTACAACTCAGCTCCCCCACCCCCTGCTACTGGCTTGTAAACATTTAAAATTCATTAATATGGCTAATTAAGTTATAACTGATGCATTGTATGTTATTAAGGCAGTAAACAATTTTGGGATTGATAAAAAAGTAATGATTGTTCATGCATCAATCTTCCCCAACATTTCCATTCCTCCCAAAATCAAGAGCCTTAATTTTTTTTATCTTGTGGTTTCACAATTGGTGATTTTACATTTCTATGCCCAAGACATCCTCTTCCCATGTCCCTGGGTGTATATTACAGTGATACCCTGGAAGAACAGAAAGCTGCCATCTGGCCACGCTTTAAGTCCACAAAGAAAACAAGAGTACTAAATTGAATTAACTGAGTGATGGGGTATAAAGGATGAAGTCTAGGAGATAAGGAATGACACAGGGACTTTCAGAGTCAATATAGAAGAGAAGACATATTCCCCGAATTGGATGATGAGAAGAACAGAAGAAATTAGTCTTTCAGTTTATTCTGTCTTTTTATGAGTAAGGTTTTTTATTATTATATGTTCTGACTTTTTATCAGTAAGATTTATTATTATTAGGGCAACTGGATCAGGCCCACAGAGCATTCTGCACAGGCCCACAGAGTATTTTGCACCATCTCGTTTCCTGTGCTTTTCTTTAAAACGTGGATTTATTCTCGATGCTTGGGGATCCAACACCTGTTAAGAGAAGGTGAAGAAGAAAAAACGTATTGTAAACAACAGATTGTTCTTTATAGTTGATGACATGTTACCAATAATCCCTTTGTGGAAGATTAAGGAAGGATTAAGAAAGAGGACAGATAGAGGACAAGTTACTATTACTCGAAGATCCCTATCAGAAAAGTTGCAGGAATTAACAGAAACAAATTATACTGAGCTAACCAGATTTCCAAGCCAAATTCCAAAGAAAAGGTAATTACCAGTAACAGCATTAAGATCATAAAATATATTATCCTAACTATGAAACAGCAAGGACAATGATGAACCTATATAATTATTCCAGAAGTCATCAAAGTCACCTTATATGTTCCATCAACACTAACGACTAAACATAAAACCCTCTCAATAAAGTAAATGACAATGCCTGCAAAAAAATGTAATGTAAAAACACGTGATGAGTGGCAAAACTAGAACCCAAGTAGGAAACTTGCTGATCAATTAGCCATAAGCCTGGCCGTTGTAAAAACACATTCTAAAAAGCATTTGGAAAATATACCATTCCCTACGTAAATAACAGTGCTGCTGAAGCTGTTATACCTTTCTAAGGGCGATTCTGCATCTAGCATTCGCTCCACATTTTCTCAACTGTCTGGGAGGGGAAAGTACAGCTCAGAACCACATTGAAATACCTCGGGGCAATGCCATACTGACTGCAAAGTCACCCCTGAATGGCCATAAAATGACCATAAATCTATGCAGAAGGTACCATAAAATCCGATGGTCAAAGGACGTGAAAGTGGTGTGGGGTGTGGAGGCTACCATAAAATCTGATGATCAAAGGAAGTGAAAGCGGCATGCAATGCAGAGGGGAATTTCTGTTCCAACACGAGTTTCATGAAACAATGGAGGGAAAAGCCAATTCAGAATCAGCCTAGGTCCACTACAGTCAATGAGCATAGGAGGATGCGACTCTGCTTAGGATGGTACTGGAAATCAATTTTCCAGGGAAACTGTTTTCATAGTATTATATGCTACCAGATAACTATATTCGATAGCATGTACAATCCAGCTGGAGAATGTCCTGGTGATCCATGAGCATATCTCCAGTTGTTGTTGTTGGGTTGTTTGCTGCCAAGTCCCAGCTAACATATGGCAGCCCCATAAGATTTTCAAGGCAGGAGACATTTAGAGGTGGTTTACCACTGCCTGGCTCTGCGTAGAAATCTTGCACTTCCTTGGTGGTCTTCCATCCAAGTACTAACCGGGGCTGACCCTGCTTAGCATCAGAGATCTGTTGAGTTATCCCTGTTGCTTTAAATATCTATAAACTGCAGCACTGCAGCCCCAATATGGATCAGGGAACCATGCCCTATGTAATTAATAGCACCATTCTAAGCAGAGTTATATCCTTCTAAGTCTATCGACTTCAATGGACTTAGAAGGGTGTAACTCTGTTTAGGACAGCACCGTTAAGCATTAGCAACATCAAACCTATACAAGATGCCCATAGTCCTTCGGTGGGATACTGAACTTGCTCGCCAAACCAAGACAATTAGCACAGATAATTTTAAAATACAAGTCAACATGTAAATAACCACTAACAGATACTAGGGCTGTTACACAGTTAAAGAAAGCTGACTGATTCAGTGAATTTTCGATTATTATTGATTAAATATGCATCTGGATAAAAGCAATGGGTCTTAAGCAAAAAAATCCAAACAACTGTATTTTGTTTTGGATAATGTTTTGTAGCAGGCATGATCTTAGAAGAGGCATTTCTTCCTGCCCAGGGCAGGAAACACCTTTCCTAATACTGTGCTTTCCATCTACAGTTTTTTATAAGTAACATTATTTAAAACAATAGGCATTGTTTTAGTCTAAGGTGTAATTCATTGGTTTAACTGATCCATCAGTCAAATGTTGCAGCCCTACTAAATGCCATTCTTTCAGTGGTACCTACTGGTAAACACAATTGCAGCAAATTCTACCTCTCAAGGCTTTAGAAACATCAGAAATACAATGTTATTAAATAGATGCTCAGGGGGAGTGTTGACAAACTGGATTGATTGGGAACATGTGGTTTTGGGCACATTTTCAAGATTCTGGAACCTTCAGGCAACTTACAAGGGTGCCAGGACCCTAAGCTTTGTGTCATAAACTCTACTATAAAAGGCTGTACACGGTCTACAGAGGAGTATGAAGGTTGTGTATTGTGGTAGCATGCAGAGGAAGTAGTTTTCTTTTTTTAATCTGAAGATTCATCATGAGTTTGCCATCAGGAAGAATTCAAACAAAGTTTTGGAGATTTTGACAACCACTGGAGTGAGAAGTATTATGTAGGCAATGGAGCTGCTGTGTTCTACGCTTACTAATAAGAACTACTAAGTTACACCCAAAATCTTGGAAGGTATACTCTCCTTGTTCAAAGCAAATACGTTGCCCTCAACCAATATAATACTGAAGGAACAACGAAAAACACAGGCAAACTAGTGCAGACACTGGTGCTGTGCCAGAGAACATAAGAACAACGGCCTAT